CTGGTTGCTGCTACAGAATGAAATTAGCACAAATTGGAACACATGCACGCACACACACACGCACAAACACACTCACCTTCAAGATAGTAAAAAATAAATACCCTTTTTTCAAGTGACCAAGATGACAAATGGCTAAGGAAGTAAAGGCACTTGTTATACAAGCCCGATGACCTAAGTTCGGTCCTGGAACCCACATAAAGGTGGATGAACAGAACCAACTCCTCAAAATTGCCCTCTGGCCCACCACACATGCACCATGGCTCACACAGGTCTCTCCCCTTCCACAGCATTGGTAACTAAAAATGTTTTTAAAATATTTTAAGAGTGAGCAAAACTAGGAGACTCAAGAGGCCATGTATTGTGTGACTCTAATTTTAGGGACTGTGTTGAATAGGTGAACTCAGTAGACACAGGAAATGGTGGTGGTGGTCACCAGGGGCTGGAGTAGGGGGAAATGAAGGCAAGTCTTTAGAGCAGTGGTTCTTAGCCTTCCTAATGCTGCAACCCTTTAACACAGTTCCGCGTGCTGTGGTGACCCCAGCCATAACATTGTTTTCATTGCTACTTCATAACTGTAATTCTGCTACTGTTATGAACCACAATATAAATATCTGGTATTTTCAATGGTCTTAGGCAACTTCTATGAAAGGGTCATTCAACCCACAGAGAAGTCTGGAACCACAGGTTGGGAACCACTGCTTTAGAGGCCTCAGGGTTTAAGATTACCGTGATAGAAGTTCGTTCCTAGGACACTTTGTATGTACTTAATACTATTGACCCAAACATTTTTCGGGTGTTTCAAATGGTCCCTTCTTGTTATGTGTGCCTCTGCGACTTCCTGTGTTGGCCTGAGACTCCTCCCAGTGGCTGGCAAACCCCACTGAGTCTGGCTGTAGTATGCCAGCTCCAAGGCAAGCCAGGGAACTTGCATTTTCACAGGCTCCTGGTGACTCGGACTCTGAGGATGCCTGGCTTGGAGGCAAGCCCTGTTGTTCTGTTTTCTAATTGGAACATGCCATATGTGCTGTTCACTCATTCCCAGCTGCCACAACCCACACGTTCCCAGGGAGCAGCAGGTCCCTTATCTCAGCAGCTGCGGGAAGGGAGTAGTGTCAGTAATCAGAGTGGCGGGGGGGGGGGGGGGGGGGTGGCTGATGACAGGAATAGTAATAAAATCCTGGTTTGGGCAGTACAGTTGTCATCCACCCCTTACCCGAATTTTTGCATTTTACAATTTTGGTTACCTGCAGTCAATTACAGTGCAAAGAATTTAAAAATTAAATGGAAAGTTCCAGATACAAATAGTTTGTTTTAATGATTTGTTTCATTATGATGTGTGTCCACACACTCACATAGACAAAGATAAGGGTGTATACATGTGTGCGTGCGTGTGTGCATGCACACACACACACACACACACACACACACACACACACACCTTCTCAGGCGATAATTCAGACCTACCAGTGGCTGCAATGAAAATTAATATTCTAAGACTCCTCTCTAGCTCTGACCAATTTCTTCACAGGCTGAGAGAGCAGAGGCTTTGATTATTCTCCGCTGGTAGCCCTAATGACTGGGAGGATGGAGGGGGTAAGGATATTCACTGTGTGAATCCATGACTCCACCCAGTCCCTGGCCAAATGGCCACCTCCTAAACCCATGTCCATGTGGCCCAGGGCTTCTTACATTGATTTTAGAAGTAAGTGGAGCAGGTGAGTCTTCTGGGCTAGCCCTTGTTCCTGAACAGAGCTTTAAGACAGGAGAGTATTCCATAACATTGTGGAGCATTAGGAGTCCGGATAGCATTCTGTAATAACAACTTTCCCTGTTAGTCCGTACTGTTTGACCCCTTCTCATTTCCAGTTTACACTCTCTAAGCCTGGGTGACAGTTGATGCTTTTATTGCTAAGCAGCAGATGCTCCTCCCTTGCTAGTCCCTTCTGATCATGGGCTGTATTTGCTCCACCGTCCCCTCCCTCACTCTCCCAGATACTGTTGATCAAAACCCTCAGCCACACAAGGATTCCCAAATGGCACCTGGCCAATTTAGTATTGGATTTTCTCTAGTCCTGGAAGGTAAACATTTATCTCTGCAGAAATAGGTTTTTGTTTTCTTATTTGAGTTTGTCTTGAGGAAAAAAAGAAACTTACACAGAGTGTTATTCTTACTTACGTTATTTATTTATTTTGAAGTTTTGGGGATTGAATCAGGGCCCTGGATATGCTTTGTCACTGAATGGCACCCCCAGTCCTTTTTATTTGTGTGTGTGTGTGTGTGTGTGTGTGTGTGTGTGTGTGTGTGTGTGTGTGTGTATTATATGCATGCATACGCATATACGTACTCCTGTGTAGGCATGTGTGGAGGCCAGGGGTTGATCTTAGGTTGTTTTCTTCCTTAATGTCTGTCTACCTTAATCCCTTGAAAGGGGTCACTCACTAACTCTGGAGCTAGGCTGGTAGTCAAGAGATCTTCCAGTCTCGACCCTACCCACTTGGTATTGGGATTATAGGCTCATGCCACCACGCCTGCTTTTATAATAGGTGAAAAGTTTCTACACCCCAATGAGCCTCTCTGCTGATATAGCAATCCAAGTCAGACCATATTAAACTTAATTAGTAAAAGCCACGGTTAATGGGTGCAACACTCCCCGATGGCCTTCCAGCAACACCCCCCCTCAAGGATATCGGAAAGGGAGACCTGAAAAACCAGGAGTCTGTTTCTGGGGGACAGTTTAAATATCCTGTGGGAGAGGTCTTGAGTATCTCTGGGGGGAGGGGCCATCATTTGGTGGGCTTTCTGAGATGCAGCAGGGTTTGGGGGGGGGTTAGGTGGAACCTCCACCATAACATCCCAGACTCTGTGTACATGGATGCCAGGGACTTGGGCAAAGCTTCCACCTTAACAATAGGTGCAGAGGATCCAATCTCAAGTCCTCATGCTTTTACAGCCAGTGATTTACTACAAGCCTTCTCCCCAGGCCCACTTCTTTCTCAGAAGCTATTTTCAGATGAATAGGATTTAATCCATTGCCACTGGCAGGATTTCCTGTTGGCCCACCTTATTAACTGTTTTCTAGTAGGCTTATCATTCTTTGCTCAGGTGGAAGAGTTCGCTCGCCCTGGGGTGATACATTTGTGTGTGTGTGTAAATGTGTGGTGGAATGGTGAGTGTGAATCCTCTCACCCCCTGCCTAACTTTACACTATCTCCCTTAATTCTCTGGCTCTAGATAATTCCTTTCTGAGGCTCGCTGAAGCTCTTTCATCTGTGGCTCTTTCTTGTCACCTCTGACATGGCTTCCTCAGGCTATCTGCACAGTTCTGAAACCCCCACTCAGACTCCTTAAAACTGGGTGGAGGAAAAGAAGAGAAATGAGAATCGTTGTGAAAGGCCGAGATGGCTCATGGGTAAGGGAGCTTGCTAACAAGGGTGACAACTTGAGCGCTCTCCCCAGACCCATACACTGGGAAAAGAGAACCTTTTCCTGCAAGTTGCCCTCTGACTTCGATGTGCACACCATGGCCTGTCCTGGGGGCGGGCAGGGGAGGGTTAGCATTGGGACAGGTGAGTTTGGTACTGGGGTGGGAGCACTGTACACAGACTTTCTTCTTCTTCTCCACCATTCCAGCCCTTGGCTGACATGCATTTCCATCTCCCTGTTCATCAGACCACCCCCTCCTCTCATCTTTCAGGCGGCACATGGCTGTGTCTTTAAGGAACAAAACCTATGACAGAGAGGCCAGCCCCTACATCTGCTGAAAACACAAGCCTCTAAATTAGCAAAGTCTGCCGGCTATCCTTAGGTGTGAAGGACCTGTACAGCTTCTTCTAAAGGAACCTTTAGATCTCTCTACAGAAAAGCCACATGAAAGAGCAGTGCGCATGCTCTTTCACACATGTACGTGTGCAGTGGTACATGCCTCTGGTCCCAGCACTGAAGGGGCAGAGGCAGGAGGATCCCTGGGGCTCCTTACCCAGCTTGTCTAGCTGAATCAGCAAGATCCAGGTTCAGTGAGGGATTCCTCTCAAAGAAAGAAGGAAGAAAAAAAAATAATAAAAGGAAACCAGGGCAGCACAGCACACAGCTTTAATCTCAGCACCAGGGAAGCAGAGGCTGGCTTCTTGCGAAAGATGGTGTTGCATTCTCCATGGAACAGCTTTTCTTCCACTTCTTTTCCATTGTGTATTAATTACTTTCATCGTGGCTATGGCAAAGTACCTAACAAAAGCCACTGAAGGAAGGAAGGAAGGAAGGAAGAAGGAAGGAAGGAAGGAAGGAAGGAAGAAGGAAGGAAGGAAGGAAGGGTTTATTGTGGCTCACAGTTTGAGGGCACACAGTCCATTGTGGCAGGGAAGGCACAGTGGCGGGGCAGTCAGGAAGCAGAGAGAGAAGGATGCTGGTGCTCAGCCCACTGTCTGCTTTGTATTCAGTCCAGGACCCCGGCCCATATACAGTGCCATTCACATTCCATATGGGTCTTCCCACTTCATTCAACCTAATCCAGAGGCTTCCTCACAGATGTGCCCTGATGTATGTCTTCCTAGTTGAGTCTAGATTCTGCCAAATTGGTAGTCAATGTTAAATAGTTCCATGTGTCACAGCACAACTGTCTCGGATGAGGGCGTGGAGATATTTTCCAACTTCCTAACTGCCAGTGAGTTAAAATTCCTCACATGTCAACTTGTTTGCAATCATAGGCATCTTGGTGTTTTATAATGTTTAGTTTTCAATACTTTTAAGCTATGCATATTTGTATATTTGTATGTGAATATGTGCACGTGTATTGCGGAAGCAAAAGAGAGCCTCGGGTAACCTGGAGCTGAAGTTACGGGCAGTTTTGAGCCGCCAGTGTGGATGCTGGGAACTGAACTCTGGTGTTCTCCATGAGGTGTTAGTACTCTTACCTACTGAACATCTACCCAGCCCCATCACGGTGTTCAGGATGCAGATCTAAGGTGATTTTATCCATGCACTTCTTCTATCTTGTCATTTATAGAGGAGCTGAAGGCCCCCTTGGAAGAGTATGTCCACAAACGCTACCCTGGCCTGGTGAAGGTGGTACGCAACCAAAAGAGAGAAGGCCTGATCCGAGCACGCATCGAGGGCTGGAAGGTGGCCACTGGCCAGGTCACTGGCTTTTTTGATGCCCACGTGGAATTCACTGCTGGCTGGTAGGTCATGTGCTGAAATGTATTACTTAGTAAGGGCTGAATCTGGGAGGTGGGGCATTTTGCCTGTCTCTTCTGGAGCCTCAAAAGAATGGAGAAGGGGTGCTTGGTGAGAAGGCCATTGGGATAAAGTTGGGAAGCAAGAAAGTAACTCATGGGCTGGCCTTCTAGGCACTGTTAATTGTTGTCATCAACCTATGAATCACTTTTCATGAATCGATGTGACAAGAAGTACATGGAAAAGCAACTTACAAAAGAAAGAACCCAACCTGAACTCGTGGTTTGAGGGTATCGTCCGTCATGACGGGGAAGCCACAGCAGCAGCTAGCTGGTCACATGGCATCCACAGTCAGGAAGCAGAGAGAGATGGATGCTGGTGCTCAGCTGTCTCCTTCTTATTCAGTTGAGGACCCCGGTTCACAGGGTTGTAGCACCTAAATTCAGAGTAGGTCTCCACACTTTAGTTAACCCAACTTAGAAGCCACTTCACAGGCATGGCCTCACACACATCTATTTTTGATTCTAGATCCTGTCGAGGTGACAATCACTGTGGTGGGTAGTAAATTCCAAGCCAGCCTGGGACACATGAGTCCTTGTCGCAAAAATAAGTCATTTCTCTAAAACAGTAACAACTGATAGGGACTGGAGAAAGGACCTGGTGGTTACGAGTACTAACTTCTCTTGTAAACAACAACAACCTAACTGTGTATGCACATATATGGAGTAGAAGGAGCTGTGTGTGTGTGTGTGTGTGTGTGTGTGCGTGCGCGTGCGTGAGTGTATGTGCTTGTTAAGGCCAGAAGACAACCTCGGGTGGCATTCTTCAGGTGTCATCCACCCTATTTTTCAAAACAGGGTTTCTCACTGACATAGAACTCACCAAGTTGGTTAAATGGCTGGGCAGTGTGTCCCAGGGATCCTCTTCTCTCTGCCTTCCCTGTGCTGGGATTAGAAGTGTGTGCCACCATGTCATGCTTTTTTTTTTTACATGTGTTCTGAGGCTTGAACTCTGGTCCTCATGCTTACATAGCAAGTACCTCACCAATTAATCTATCCCCCAACCTTTCATGCACTGGATTCTTCTGGCCTCTCCCTCCTGCCCTCCATCACTTTCCCTCCTAACCACTCCTCCCATCTCGCACCTACTGTGCTGGGACCACACCCTCTCTATCTTGGTGCATTCTCATTCACCCTCAGGAAAGCAATGGCTCTCTGCGTCCATTCTTCTTTGCTGTGTTTGGCTATGCAATCCCTGTGAAGTCCTAGCTGTCCTGGAATTCAGCACATAGCCCAGGCCAGCCTTGAGTTTACAGTAATCCTCCTGCCTCTATCTCCTGGGAGCTGGGGTTACAGGTGTGCATCACCGTACCCAGCCACTTACTGTGGCTGTAACACTGGTCTAGGCTGAGGATGTGCCTGGGACAGACGGATCCTCCCTCAGAATTTTCCATTGTCACCCTGAAACAGTCCCATCAGTCAACACAATGGGCATTCCAAATTGGCAATATTTGGCACCTTCCCTGAAAGATATATCATCTAATTTGGGCCAATAGAGCCTAATTCCTCGGCAGTCTGCTTCTAACTAGGCTCTATGATGTCATCATTAGCTATGCAGACTTGTTTTCTACACTTCAGCCAAAGTATCCTATGTCCCTTTCTGAATTAAAGTCCGTGTGTGTGTGTGTGTGTGTGTGTGTGTGTGTGTGTGTGTGTGTGTGTGTGTGTGTGCGCCTGCGCACGCATGTGTGTATCTCAGAATTTACTGGGTAAAAATCTGCACAGTGGCCCAGTACACTACAGATTCCTCTATTCTCCCTGTGGCATTTGAACTGAGTGTTTCTGTGGCTCAGCTTGAGTATCCTGAGATCCAGGGAGTCCTTCAGCCTGGGGCTAGAGAGATAGATCTGTGGGCAGCTGAGTTGGATCTTTAGAACGGGGACTGGTGGTTCACACCGCTCTGGGGAAGCAGAGAGAGAAGGCTCCCTGGGGATCCCTGGCCAGCCAGCCTAGCCATATTGATGAGGTCAGTCCATTGACAGTTGCAGCTGTTTACCTGGTACACGTGAACATTTACATGTGTGTGCACATGCCTGATGGTTTTTTATCAGCCTGACACTAGAGTCACCAGGGAAGAAGGAACTCCATCAGATTGGCCCATGGGTATGTCTGTGTATGTCTGTGGAGCCATCCCTGGACAGGTGACACTAGGAAGAATAAGAAAGGCAGGGGAAACAAGCCAGCAAGCAGATAGCCCGAGGTAATTTGGCCCTGGACCTTCAACATTCCAACTCTCCACAATCACAAGCCATGGGGCATGGATCAGAGGACACCTGGCAGGAATTGGTTCTCTTCTCCCACCATCTGGGTCCCAGAGATTGAATTCAGGTAGTTAGGCCTGGTGGCAAATGTCTTTACCCACTGAGCCACCCTAGCAGCTTAGTCGTGGGCTTTTTTAACAACCCATCAGACTTAGAGAGTCTCTGACACAGGTGAGAACTCCAGTCCACACTTGAGATGGCCGTCCAAGTCTCTTCTCAGCTGTGACATTGATACTTATGTAACACATCCCTCTGGCAAAGCAATTCACATGCGGTAAAAAGGTGGCCCGGGATTGGTGGGGTGAGTAGAGGAAACACAGCAGGTCCCATGACCACAGGGCACCCCGGGGTGGAGTTGGGGAGCAGGAAATGAGACAGAGTCATGGAGAGGGAGACTAAGCTCCTGGGCTGTAGGAACACTATTTGAAGGTGATGGGGGGGGGCATTTGATAAAGTGCTTGCTATGTACACATGAGGGTCTTCATCCAGACCTTAGCACTGATGTTATAAAAACAGTCAGGGTTAGCCCTGTGTGTGCCTGTAACCCCAATGCTGTCACGGGTGGAAACAGGAGTTTAATGACACTCATTGGCTACTAGCCTAGCTCCAGGCTTACTAAGAGACCCTGTCTTGAGTTAATAAGGTGGAAAGTTATAGAGCAGGACACCTGCCATCCTCTTCCAGTCCCCACTTTCATGCATTGGCAGGCAAATGCATACACATGTGTACAAACCCACCACACGCACAGAGAAAGGATACAGTGTAGTGACGTGCACAGATGGTAATAGCACAGTAAAACCCGTTACTTTGAAGATGGACTGAAAATATTAGTCTTACTTTTCCATTAAAAGAGGACATGGGGAAATGTTTGGCCAGTCAGGTTCTTGCGATGGAAGCATCTGAACCCGAGTTCTGATCCCTGGCACCCACATAAAAGGCCGGGCCCAGTGGTGAGCAGCTGTAACCCAACACGGGGGAGGTGGAAGCAGGTGAGTCTGCGGTTCACTGGCCATCCAGTCTAGTAGAATCCATCAGCTCTAAGTTGGGTGAGAAATCCCATCAAATAAATAAATAATAAATAAGGAGGGCTTGGTGGTTAAGAGTGCTTGCTGCTTTTCCAGGGGACCTGAGTTCAGCTCCCAGCACAAACATCAGGCAACTCACAACAACCTTCCTATAAGGCTGGCTCTGGGGGAACACAATCCCACACATGTGCACAAACAAAATAAATCTTTAAAAAGTAATAATGAAAAGGTGGATAGGCATGGCGGATGCCACCTGACACTGACCTCTGGCTTCCCCATATGTGAGCGCACCCATGTGAACTCATACACATATGCTCTCACACACAATGAAAACGTACACACAAAAGTCACTGCACAATGCCATACCAAAGTTTTTTAAAAAAGTAAAAGTATTTCTTTAAAAGAGAGAAAATGTGAGCCTCGTCGTTGGGGAAAAGTAGGCATGGCTTCTCTGGACAGGTGACATCAGAGCTAAGCTCCTTGGTGGCTCTGCTTTCTGCTGGCTGCCAAGGGCATCCCCTGCCCTCCCCACCCCCAAGAGAATCTGTCCAATGAAGGCATGAGGGAGAAAGCTGTAGAAACCTAGGAAAATAATTTCCCTCTGGCTTCCATTCTACCATGTGTGTAAAAAGTCTCGAAGGCAGTCAACGGCCCAGGGTATATTTTATTGCTCATTTTAAATAGAAAGATGAGCTGAGCCAACAGGTAATTCAATGGCTGCAAATGAAAAGAGATTGTTGCAGGCTGTAAGTTCTCATTATTCTTCCAAAGAGCACAAAGAAATGGGATTTTTCCACTTGACTCTTTTCCAAAGCCTACGATCTGGTCCAAGCTGCAAGATTAATGCCCCGGCTTCCACGAGCCATCTTTAGCTTCTAGAATATGGAAAGTGATTTCCTTCCTGTGATCAGCCTCTCAGACACATGGTGGCTTGACCATCTGCTGTGGGCTAAGCCAGCCAGCTAACACCTTAAACCAGATCGAGTTTATGCCAGCTGCAGCCTTAAGGGACAAGGCACAGCTGAGTCAAGATTTGCCTGACTCTGGGTTTAATTAGTTCCAAGCCTTCTGCTGCAGACCAATCGGATCCTTTTAGGCAATCAATTAGATAGTCAGTTAAAACAACAAAAATAGTTGAGCCTTCACAAAGAAACTAATGAAACTGCTTATTAAATCCAGCACAGGAATGACCTATTTGAGGATAGGAAATTTAGTCCCAGCAGATAGAAAAAGAAAACCAAAACTCCATCAGCAACAAGAGGAAACCATATAGAACTGACAACCATACAGAGATGGGAATAGTGTTTATGATATATATAAAAGGCGTGTGGCTGGAGAGGCAGCACAGCACATGCTACTCTTACAGAGGACCTGAGTTTGGGTCCCAGAGTCCTCACCAGATGGCTTACAACCACCTGGAACTTCAGCTTTGTTGGGATTTGGCGCCCTCTGCTGCCCTTCAAGGGCACTGCACTCACAAGCACATCTCTACATAGACCTATAAATAAAAATAACTCCTAAACTTCAAGGGGGGGGGGAGAGGGGGAGGAAGAGAGAGAGAGAGATGAGAGAGAGGCTTGAAAGCCTGGCACTTTCTGGGGATAAAACTCCACATTAATTCTTTTGCTAGGCTTCTCCTGTCCACACAGGCATCATTACAGTGAGTTTGTATGAGCAAAGACTCAAGAGGCATACTGCACACTTGCAAACAAACACACACACAGTGATCATGGATATGCATCCCTTGTTAGAGTGCCTTCCTAACATGCACTAAGTCCTAGGTTCCATCCCTAGCACCCTATAAACCTGGCATTTAAACTGGAGGCTGATGCATGCTTCTAATCCCAACACTTATCAGGCAGAGGCAGGAAGATGGGCAGTTCTAGGGCAGCCTAGGCTATACGGGAATTCATGGCTAGCCTGGGCAACTTAACAGTCTTAAAATAGAAATACAATTGGGCTAGGGATGGTTGAATGTGTGCCGGACATGCAGGAGTCCCTGGGTTAGATCCCTAGGCTCACATAAACTGAATGTAGTTTCCATTCCAGCACCAGGGGAGTGGAGGCAATAGGATCGGGAGGAGTTCAGGCTCCTCCTCCTCTACACAGCCTTTGAGGCCAGGCTGGGATGCATTAAAGCCTGTTGCAAAACAAAAGGGAAACAAAACCACAGAAACCCACATGGTCATCACATGCTCAAACTCGGGCAGGTCATGTGCCTCTGAGTACCTTGGTTTCCTTCTGAGCTCCAACCAGTTGAATTTCTTCATTTCTGGCAGTTTTTAGGAGCCTGCTGGCTGATGCATGCCCCAGGAGAGAGATTTATTTGATTGTGACTTCTCTGCTTTGCAGGGCTGAGCCTGTTCTGTCCCGCATCCAAGAGAACCGGAAGCGGGTCATCCTCCCCTCCATCGACAACATCAAGCAGGACAACTTCGAAGTGCAGCGCTATGAGAACTCTGCGCACGGGTACAGCTGGGAGCTGTGGTGCATGTACATCAGCCCCCCCAAAGACTGGTGGGACGCCGGAGACCCCTCTCTCCCCATCAGGTCTGTGACAAGTAAGCTCTGGTGGGGCTGGTAAAAGTCTGCTGCACAGTGAGAGCCCAGGCCCAAGGGTCAACTTGAGCCATGGAGAAGGGCTGGGAATGGCTGGCAGAGGCTGGTGCAGTAAGCGGCTCCCTAAGGCATGACGGTGCCTTAGGATCCTAATTCCTTGCTGAGAGAGAGAGACAATTGCATCTTAGCTGCCACTTTCATACAGCTGCAATGAAAGTTGGAAATTGGTAATAATACAGTTTTTCATCCTTCTCGGGTGTTACGTAGCTTCACAGTCTACGATCTTACCCACCCTTGGTTAACCTGTGTGAAAACACTAAATTATCTCAACCTCTGGGCTCCAAGTCTGTAATATAATCACACCTGCCAAGATTTTTCCCTGTAATATCCCAGTCACAGGTTCTAGAGATTTGGATCTGACATTGGGAGGGGGGCAAGCATCATTCTACCTAGTGTCGAGCTGACTTTTTTATTTTAGTTTTTATTTAATTTATTATTGTTGGGGGTGGTGTACTGATGCCATGGCGTGCATGTGGAGGTCAGAGGACAACTTTGGGGAGTCGGTGCTCTCCTTTCGCCTGCATGTGGATTCTGGGGATCAAAGTTGGGGCACCAAGCGTGCATAGCAAGCACCATTATTTGCAGATGCGGAAAGTCGCCAGGAATGCCAGGCTAGTTGGCCAGCGACCTTCACGAGTATTCCTATATGTGTACTCCCATCTCATCATTGCTGGGATTACAAATCCGTGCTGTGGTGCCTGGCTTTTATGTGGGCTCTTGGGATCAAACTGAGGTCATCACTTTTGTGAGGCAAGCCCGTTACCAACTCTTAAAATTGGATTAATTCTGTCTTCGGTCATTTGTGGTGGGAAGGGCAGTTTCCCCTCGCCTGGCTTTAATGAACGTTTTTTTCCATATCAAGCAGGAAAGCAAGGAACAGGAAGAAAGACTTTCTAGAAGTAGGTGTGGGTTCTGTCTTGGTTTGCAAATTTGTGATAAACAAAGTATGTTAGTTTTTAAAATCCCTGTGACAAGTGTCTGAGAAAAGAAACGTAAGGAAAACAAGATGTAACTGTGCTCCTGCTTTTTTTGTTTGTTTGTTTGGTTGGTTGGTTTTTTGTTTGTTTGTTTGTTTGTTTTTTGTTTTGAAATAGGGTTTCTCTGTATAGTCCTGGCTGTCCTAGAACTCACTCTGTAGACCAGGCTGATCTCTAACTCAGATCTACCTGCTTCTGCTATCCAAAATGTTGGGATTAAAGGTGTGCACCGCCACACTTGCCTGGAACAAGAATAATTTTAACTCGTCATTTCAGAGGCGAGTCAATCATGGTAGAGAAGAGTGGCTCACACCATAGAGCCCGGAAACAGAAGCTCTATCGCTAGCCCTTCCCTGGGGGTATTCCAGGCAAGTGTTCTGCCTCTCAGTCACACCCCCAGCTCTTCACTGGAAGATTCTAGGCAGGTGTTTTACCTGAGCCATGCCCTCAGACCCTCAATGGGGAATTCTCAGAAGAGCTCTACCGTTGATCGATACCCCCAGCTATTTGCTGGAGGATTCTAGGCAGGCGTTCGTATACTGAGGCATCCTTACTCCTGCCCTTCAATGGATACTGGCTCTACCTCTGAGCCACTTCATTCCCTCACTGAAGGATGCTAAGCTAGAGCAAGAGCGCTACCACTGAGCTACCCCCTTAGCGCAGGTGGAATGACCAGCAGACATGGGCCAGCCTGAGTAGGAAGGCTCTGTGTGAAACAATTACTTGCAACTTTCATGTTACTGTCACATTACCAGATGATTAATATGCACTTTAAAGACTCAAGAACATGGAGTTGCGATCCTGAGCCATTAATATTACACGAGTCTCTTGATGTACATGCGCCAGTGGCCCTCCTCTTTGTGCGTCTTTACTCACCAGACACTTAATTTGTTAATGGGCGATAGGGAGATTTAATTGTCGGAAAGGAGTTTTTATGGGCCTTCTGATGTTATTAAGCTGATATAATGTGCTTCCTTAATCATGAGGACATGATAATTTCTCCTCCATCCAGTGATGCCAAAATGTTAGTGGTTATGATTATACCCCCATTGAAGGGTACAGGGAGCCTGTCATGTTCCAAATAGCATAGACTAGATAAGGCCCTGGATATTAGACTTCCTGGTAAGGGATGTAATATAAGACATTTCACCCTGGGTGCTGGAGGGATGATGCAGAGGTTAAGAGCGCTTGCTGCTCTAGCATAGGACCCAGAATCCACGTTGGGCAGCAAGCAATCACTTGTAACTCCAGCTCCAGGGAAATCCAATGCCCTCTTCTTGCCTCCATGGACACTGTACTCATGTGCATGAACCCACATAGACACACATACATGCATGTAAAAAAAAAAAAAAAACTTTAAGGAAGTTTTGCTTTAAGGGAACATAGTCCATTTATCTTGTTCTAGTGTTGAGCACTGAAGCTAAGGGTTCATGAACACTAGACAAGGGCTCTCCACCACTGATCAACCTCACAGCCCTTTGATTGATTGATTGATTGATTGATTTTTACTTTTTATTTGAAGACAGGCTCTTTCTAAGTTGCATATGCTGGCCTTGAACTTAATTCTTTAGACCAGAGAGGAACCTGTGATCCTCCTGCCTCGGTGTCCAGAACAGCTAAGATGACAGGCCTGCACCACCACCGTCCCAGCCTATGTTGTCCCCACCGCACCCCACTTTTGACCTAACAAGCTGTTTGCTAAGGTTTCCTGTTGGTTTTATGTCCTCAGTTGTCTGTAGCTGAGATTCAGGTGAGAATGGGCAGGTGACCACAAAGAGGACAACGGCCTCATGTAAAGATTGTAGTCAACGATGGTTATTAAACACATCCTGCACAAGGAGGCACCTGCTCCCAGGCCCACATACAGAGAACCAAAGTGGCTGACTCCTAGGCTTTTAAGAAGTCTTTTTGTGTGCATGTACATGTATTGTGTGAGTTTATGTTGCATGGGTGCAGGTGCCCATGAAATTCAGAAAGGGGCATCAGATCCCTTAGAGCTGGACTTGTTGGTTGTGAGCTGCCCCACCCAATGGCTAGTGATGAAATACAATCCCACTGGAAGAGCAACAAGCTCTCTTAACTGCTGGGCATGCCTTTAATCCCAGCACTTGGGAGGCAGAGGCAGGCAGATCTCTGTGAGTTCAAGTTCAAGACCAGCTTGGTCTGCAAGAGCTAGTTGCAGGACAGCCTCCAAACCCACAGAGAAACCCTGTCTCAAACAAACAAAAAACAAGCTCTCTTGAAACAGGATCTAATGGGAATCTGATCTTGAGCTTGCTGTGTAGCTAAGGAGGGCCTGAAATTCTTTCTTTGTACCCTCACTTCTAGAGTGCTGAGTTTATGTGTTACTGAAGATAGAATCCAGGGCTTTGTATACACATATGTTATATGAGTTGAGCTATATCCCCAGCTCTAGGTTCCTAGACTTTTTTAGACAGTAATTATTACCAGATCTCCTTATGAAATCTTCTGACTTCAGATGTCGAGGAGTACATTGTCTTGTCAGAGTTTCTAATTGCTGTGAAGAGATGCTTACAGTTCAGAGGTTCAGTCCATTATCACCATGGTGGGACATGGTAGCATGCAGTCAGACATGGTGCTGGAGAAGTAGCTGAGATGCCTACATCTCACAGGCAACAACAGGAAGTAGACTGAGTGTCACGCTAAGCAAAGCTTGAGCAAAAGGGACCTCAAAGCCTGTCCCCACAGCGACACTCTTCCTCTAACAAGGCCACACTTACTCCAGCAAGGCCACACCTCCTAATACTGCTACTCCCTTTGAGGGCCATTTTCTTTCAGACCATTACACGTGCCATGCTTTGAGGTGGCACTGAAGGGCTGGGGAGAAAGCACTTGCTGAGGACCCAAGTTTCATTATCCAGAACCCCCATAAACCCAGATGCAGAAGTATACGTCTGTAACCTCAGCACCTTAAAGAAAGATTTCTAGATTTATTTTATGCTTACGTGAGCATGCCCGTACAAGTTTGTGTGCACCATGTGCATGCAGGAGCCTTTAAAGATATCAGATGAACAGATGGCATTTGGCAGTTGGGTCTGTGGAACAGAGTATGGTCTTTGCTCTTTTCTTGCCCCATGAATACTGTCACCATTCCCAGGATGGCTTTGACTTGTGCCTCTCAGATGGTAGTTGTGGACATTTGTGATCATTGGTTGTATTGTGGGATTGGGGAACTTGAGAGAAATGACAGAGAAAGCTATGGACAAGCATAGTAAGTCTCCTCTGAGGCTCTAGGATCTAGTCCTGTGCACATGTCCCCAGCCTTGTTTTCTGCAATTCCTTGATAAGAGTTTATAATGCCCTGGCATGGCCTTTGCGCCTCTGTAGGAAAAACCCCAAAATCTCTGTTTTAGTCCCCAATCATTTTCCATAGAGACAGCACTTCCATCCATACCAACAGCGCCGGTGAAGAGCCCCTTTGATAGCTCGATGAAAGCCACAGCCCGCTTTCCCCAGAAGCTGTGTAAGTGGCCAGGACATTATATATAAATTCCATTTAGTTTATAAATGCCATGGAGCCAGTGTCCTGAGAAAGTCTGAGACTTCTGGGGTAGACCACCCTTCAGTGTTTCCATCTGACTTTCCTAGTGGGCTAGCCTTTCCTTCTCCACTCTCCAGTGTTGTGTGCAATACAAACCAAACCCATGGCTGACCGTTGTGTAACTGGTCCTTTGGTGTCCAATCAACATCCGACACTTAAGAGGTGATACCAAAAATAGGTAAGTGGCAGATGAGGTTCAGGAGAGAGGTCAGGTCTCATAAATAATTAGAAAAATTATGGGGGGGGGGGCTGGGAGATGCCTCAGTTAATAAAGTACCTGCTGTGCAAGTATGAAGACCTGACTTTGAAAAAGAAATCTGGTTTTGTTGGGTTGGTCTTGTCATCCCAATGCTGGGAAGGAGGAAATAGGTAAATTCCTGGGGTGCTCAGTG